CGGGCCAGACAGTTCCCTGAAGTGCTCTAATTGCTAGGACTGAGTAGTGCTTGGTGTTCACAATGTCCCTGAGCCATTAGGAAAAGCATTTTTATGGCACTGAAGAGTTCAAGGTTTAGGAAGTTTCCAGATTGGTCCCTTAAAGAAAATGTGCTACATAATGCATTTAATTTTCTGTTCTTTGCTAACTCCGCTTTGCAAGGTGATGACTCATTGACTGGGGAGGGGCATGGCATATGGCAGTCATCCTAATGTCTGTTTTTGCTTTTCCCTCACGCTTATCTCCATTTACACAGTCTTCTTTAGCATTGTTTTATTTAAGCAAGGTATGATTTGACATTGAAGTTTTTAATCTTAAACTCTTGGGAGTGTTTTTTCTTTCTTTCTTTTTTTTTTTTTAATTAAAACTCAAGTTCTGACTGATCTCATAATACACATTCTAATACTTCTTCTGTCTACCTGCTCACAAGAAGCACTGGTCCTGGGAGATGGAGAAGCAACAAGCCACCAACGTTAGTTGTATTAAGTAGGAGCTCTAGGATTTGATATGCAAAGGTGTGAGCCTGCCTGTTCTTAGCCACCTCTTGGAGGGCAGTGATGAGACCTGCATCATGGGTCGTTGGTCTCCTGCTGCCTCATTCCTACTGCCCTGCAGGGAGATGTTTAGAACATTCTAGTTGTTTTCTCAAGTGCTCTCAACCGTCTCCTAAACTAGTGATAAGCTTTCTAAGACCTAAACTAGCTTTCTTAGGTGGCTCACAGTGCTGTCTGGCTGCCTTGTACCTTCTCCCCCGCTGTTATTTATTTATTTTTTTAGAAGACGCTTCCTGTAAAGTCCACTCTTAAGTGATTTTGAGGTTTACAGTATGGAACCAGTTAACCTGTCTCTCTCTGCCTTTGGGATGATCAATGGAGTGGTCATCAAACTGCCTAGTACTGAACTCATGCTGTTTGTTATAACAGAGAGCCGTGGAGATTTTATATGTTTTAGAAAACAAACTCAGAACAGGGAGGGCCTTGGAATTTTCAAGCTGACCTCATGGTGGTCTGTATAAGATGCTGCCATGATGTGTTGGTCTAGATGAGGCACTATGTGGCTCTTTGACTTTCCTTCCTCATATGAACTGCATGTAAGCGATAGGGGAATCTTAGTCTGGCCCTCTCAAACAATCATTTTTTTAAACTTTAAAAAATATTTTTGAGATTGTATTATAATTACATTTCTTCTTCTCATTTCCTCCCTCCAAACCTTTCTATATACCCCTCCTTTACCTATTTCAAACTCATGGCTTCTTTTTTATTAACTATTGGCACACACATACATGTGTATGTGTATATAAATATATATTCCTAAACATTACCTGTTCAGTTTATATAATGTTACTTGTCTGTTTTCAGGGCCGGCCATTTGGTATTGGATAACCAATTGGTATGCTCTTCCCCAGAGAATACTATTTCTCCCACTCCCAGCATTCCTCAGAAGTGCCTCAAATCCTAGGGTGCACAAGAAGCCACCAGACCCTGCTTTAGAAAGCCATGGATCTTGTCTTGCTCTCTTTAGTTCTCGTGCTGGGCTGGACGTCTACACATTATGTGTGAATAGGAACAATTTTTTGTGTGTGCTTTGTTTTTGAACATGACTTGTTTACTAGGAAAGCTTAATGCTTCTACTTGGGTAGATTTTGTTTTCTTTTTAACAAAAGGCGTGTGTGTGTGTGTGTGTGTGTGTGTGTGTGTGTACATGCATGCCACCTGTGTACAGGTACCTGTGGTGGTCAGAAGAGCATGTTGAATCCTCTGGTGCTGGAGCTACAGGTGGTTGTGAGCCTTCTGACGTGGGTGCTGGAAACCAAATCTGGAAGAGCAATACACACCCTTGACTACTGAGCCACCTCTTCAGACCCCTCCATAAACTTTACTTAAAAAAAATTAATCTCTGTGTGTGTATGCATGTGAGTGCATTTGTCCGGAGGTCAGAGGATAACCTTGGGCCAGGATCTCTGGTTGATTGCTGCTGCATGAATTGGGCTAACTGGCCTGTGGACTTCTGTGGCTTCTGTCACTGCCTTCCTCTTGCCATATGAGATTCGGTCCATTCAACAGTTTTGAATGAGTCCTAGGCATTCATCCTAAGTTCTTCATGCTTGTACTCCAACCTCCAGTGAACATCTTAAATCCAACTAACTTTTCCAAATCAACAAGACATCACATCTAGGAACAGAGGTTTCGGAAACAAAGTTAGGTGGGAATGAGAAGCAGCCAGATCTGCTTCCTGTTTTACACCGTGATGAAATCTCTTCCTAAGCTTTCGAGAGAGCTGCTGTCTTGGCTGGGTGCAGTGCATGCCACTGCCTGTTGGTCTGCAGAGAGTTTGCATGGTTTTGTGGCAGGGCTTTTCATCCCAGGTGAATCATCGCGTTCTTCCTTTCGTTTCTGGCCACCCGTGTGTCTGTCCTGGGATAGAGGAAAGATTGTGCGCAGCTCCAGTTCTCGGGAGGGAACCCCCGACCTCCTCTTTGATTGACTGTTTTCAGGTTATTGTTGCTCCCTTAAAACCTACCTTTTTGCCTTTTCCAGCAAAGGAGAACTGTTGGTTTCTCACTGTCATGCAACCAATAGTGCTTTTCTTATTGGGTAAACACAGTGTTTCTACACACACACACACACACACACACACACACACACACACACTTCCAAATTATCATTTCTCTGAGCAGGTACCATGTCGTTAAGCAGTTTTGGATTAAATGTGGTAGATTTACTCGAGGAAGCGTAAATCTACCACGCTTGATGTCCAGTGTTTGTTGAAAGAAAATGGACAGTGAGATAACTGTGAGAATAAACGAAAGCCTAAGACACATCTCTCCTCACCAGGATTTAAAAACTTCCCTTAATGTCATTTCCTCTGTGCTTTCCATGGGACAGGGACAAACTTCATTAAAGGTACAGACAGGCTGTAGTGGTGTCCTGAATCTTTTTCTTGGAACATGTGTTGTGTATTGCATATTTGCAAGTGCAAGGTGGTGATTGTGACGGGGTCAGAAACTCAAAGGGGAGTTGAAAAATAGGCCGTTTCCTTAGCTTGTATCTCTACCAGGCCTAGCTCCCCCCCCCAAAAAAAAATTCATTTTCCTAGAGCGGGGAAAGCAAAAGTGAATCAAAAGCTATGAGGTTGTGTGCTGAGGGGTAATTCTGGTTGCTGTGAGCCAGGCAGACTGTGGTGAAATGACACTGATAGAGTATTGTTACTTAATTGGGATAAAGAAAAATGACATGGTGTCAGTCTTTGGAGAGAGAGCGTTTTGATGGACTCATGAGTTTCCTAGATTTAGAGTCCCTACTCTATATTTTATCCGGGCCAGTCCAGCATTACATACCCATATTCTCAAAATGAAGAAAGCCCAAACAACTCCTGGCATTTTCTACCATCACCTAGCAGTGAGAAGTTTGCTGTAGTGATCTGGAAATAGCCTTTTAGCCACTGTAGAAAGGCTGAAAGATTGAGGGCTCTGTGGGAGGAGATCATCGTACTTTCTATCACCGGAGTCAGGGTAAGGTTACACTGTGTCTTAAGTGTAGTCTTCCATCTTGAATTCAAGAAAAGTACAATTTGGCTATGTGATTGTGCTGTCACAGTCATGGGAGATGCTTGATGCTGTTACCGATGGAGGGGATAGATTCATCTTCTGTGGTTATATTTGACCACTGCCCAAGTGTCCCACAGTATTTTTTGCATCTCAATTATTGTATTTCACAATCCTATGAAGTACACCACTACAGTACCCTATCCTTCATGGAGCTCAATACACCAGTCTAAAGCCTGTCTCCACTACTGGTTGCTGAGTGTGCTAGCTGTTATTCAATTACAGTGTACTAGTTGTCAGATAGTACCATTTCAGGGGCTGCTTTGGCCTTGTTGTAACTTGAGTTTCTACCCAAATTCCATGAGTAAATACAGAGTTGTCCTTTGATGTTATAAATTTGTTCTTTCTGTCATGAGACCACAAGATAGACAGACCTTCGGGAAATGTGAGATTGTTATTTCTGCTTTGCGTAGTTGCAGAAGGGCCATTTATAAACCCTGCATCCTTAAGTAGCTCATGTATGAGATAGCTGGATGGTTCCTAGTTATGGCCTCGAGAAATGCTAGCAAGGCTTTGCTGCGGAGAGTAGGCTGATAACCAAACCCATCCTGAGAGAGGAGAATTATACCAGATTTTTTGAAATACAGGGTGACAACACAGTTTTAGGTCCTAGATCAAAAATTATAGTTGTGACAAAGTTATTTTGCTTGCCTCTGAATCTTTTTGTATACTTTCTTTACTCTGGATCATAGCCTCTGTACTCCCTGCACTGACTGTTAGGTCTGTAGGAAGATTTTTAAAGAGGACATTCTTTATAATTTGTGACATCAAATAGCTACTATTGGGATTCCACTAGGAAAATGCAATTATCCATTTATGGCATAAAATAAATAGCTAGAGCTTTATCCTTCCTTCCTTCCTTCCTTCCTTCCTTCCTTCCTTCCTTCCTTCCTTCCTTCCTTCCTTCCATCCATCCATCCATCTATCCATCGGCCATGGAAGGAAAGGTTGGTGACCCTGATATATAGACAAACACATTACTTAGGTTGATTGGAGGACTGGAGAGATGGTTTTCTGGTTTGGTTGCCAGCACCCAAATAGTGGCTCGGACTCCCCCCACCCCCATTACCTCCAGTTGTAGAAGGATCTGATGCCCTCTTCTGACCTTCATGACTCCTGAATGCATGAAATTTACACACGCACACATATACATAAATTTAACCAAAGTATTTTAAGTACCTTGGATTAAACCTACAAGAAAAAGAACTGATGTTTTATTTAAATTCATTTGAACTTCTCTTATTAGTAACAGAACCAGCATAGGGAAGAGATACTGTGTGAGAGACTTTAGCCATTCTGTTTGGGTGACTGTCCAGAATGTTGGTATTAACCAGTCTTTCTTTTCTCTTTGTTCAGGGTCGACATGTTAAAACAGGTCAGCTGGCGGCCATCAAGGTTATGGATGTCACTGAGGTAAGGCTGGATCACGTATGTTTATGAAAGGATCGTGACTTTAAAGTTACTCCTGCCCTAGTAAAAAGCCTTTCTGTGTTTGAAGATTATGATCCCTTGAGCACATGGCTCTGCTGTGGTATTTGGTGCTCAGGGTCCAGTGGCAGGCCAGTTGACATATTTTGAGTTGTTGCAGGTGGTCCCCAGGTAGCTAAGTCAGTAGTAGCATTTGCTTATTTTTTTTTTTTTAAACAACCATCCTAGAACACCTCCCCATGGTGTCATCCTTGGCTACAAAATGGAGTGTAATTGGAAACATCTTAACTAATAGGAAAAGTCAGAGGCAGGATCATGGAGGTCACATGAATAGAGAGTGAAGGAAAAGCTTCCCTTAGGGTGGTTAGTAGTCTACACCTGTGCTATTTCTTTTACTTATTTTATCATGGGAGAAGAAAACATCCAGCCAAGTTCCCAGGGGTCGTAAGAGAGACATCTGTTAGAACGTTGAGTAGATTGTTGGCAAAATTTAGTGAGAAAAGATAGTTCTTTAAATGATTGAGGATTTACAGTGCAGCTTTACATGGGAAAAGAGAACTGAGCCAAACAAAATGTGAGTCCACACATGTGGACATGCAGGGGCCTGCCTGTTTGAGTGCATTGAGAATGCATACTTAGTTCATAAAATAGACATACAGTGTGAGGAGCTGGGGGTGTCTTTACATCAAATCGTCTGGAATCTACTGAGGATGCTAATGGCTACACTGAGTTCAGTGTGCCACCAGTAATTTGGTGAGGTGTTCTCTGACCTCTCTGCTGCTTTCAAGCAACATGAACCTCTCCAGTCTGCAGGGTTGTGAGTTGGAATTAGAAAACATGGTAGACCACAAGACATCTGTTGAATCTGACAAATATTTGAAGGTGTGGCAGTAGGTGACTGCCCCTCTTTTCTTTGTCAGAGAACATAAGGAGACTTTTAAGAGGAAAATGTATTTGGTTGATATCCAAAAGATCTGCTTAACAAATTATGTTATGGACATTGTATATATGTATGTAGGATCCTACCTTGGCATATAGCTCAGTGGAAAACGAGATGCTTTTCAGCTAAAATTTTTTTGTTTTCTTTTGTTTAGTTTTCAAGACAGGGTTTCTCTGTGTAACTGTTCTGGCTGTTCTGGAACCACTCTGTAGACTGGCTTTGAACTTGGAGATCTGCCTGCTTCTGTGGCCCACCCCCTATTCGCAGCTCAGATCAACATTTGAAAGAACAATGAAAGAGTAGTACATTCTAACTTGGTGAAGTGCTCTCTGAGACTGGACCAGGCAGTGGCACCTTCTTGCTGAAGTCTCTATTCCTGCCCCTGTGACTCTTGTTGCTATCTTGGGATATGGTGTCCCAGAGTCCAGGAATTTTGAATATTTATAAACTTACTTGTTGACTGTTTTATTGTTAGATTTGTCGATACCATTTTAAATATAGACTTTGGTCCAGGCATGGGTATGCACCCTTTAATCCCTGCACTCAGGAACCAGAGGCACATAGATCTCCATGAGTTCAGGAGTCCAGCCTACATAGCAAGTTCCTGGACAGCAAGGGCCATATAAAGAAACCCTGTCTCAAAAACAAAAACAAAAACAAAACAAAACTAAAAAAAAAAGTAAGCCTTAAGCTTTGGATATTTATAAATCCAGAATTTAGGACTCAGTGTCTTTAGCCTGTGCTGTGCTTCCTGAATAGCTGCTGTGGCCTCTTGGTATGTTACCTTCAACCTCAGATAGACTTCAAGTGGAGGACCTCCTTATGTAAGGCAGAGTCTGATAAATGTGCAGTACATGGTCACCAGAGAAAGAGATTGTAATATATAGGAGAATATAAAGAAAAGTTACATCCTTCCACCTTTGTACAGTAGCCACTGTGTGCCTTGGTATATTTCTCTTCCAATCATGTGTCTGTGAGAACATCTATAAAGTACATGCAAACGTATACATGTACTGGATGCTTTTGTATTGTATTATTATTGTTGTTATTATTATTGTTATTTTCTATGCTGGGGATTAATGAGGACCTTGTGTGTCCTAAATATAGCTAAATAAGTGCTGTATCACTGACCTACCCACCAACTGTGTGTTTTCTTTCCTGAAAAGTAAGGCAACAGTGGGCAAATGCATGACACAAGTATATTCAGGGTTTCTTTTGAAATAATTAATGCAAAGCTCATGTATTCCAGTAAAGTGAAAACCAGAGTGTGACCCTTAAAAAGAACCAGCCTTCAATCAATCATTGAGTGTATTGTATTATATTGAGTAATATTTCTTACATGTGCTTTTCTTGTACTGACCTCTGTTGTAGCCTGGGGCTCAGAAAGGATCTAGAGTAAGTGTTGATTATGAATAGAAGACCATGTTCAGCTGCATGGAGAACATGCTCTTGTCTGCTCTGAACATCAGTAGCTTCTAGGCTTTGCCTGTGAACTTGTAGGCCTGGCTGGAACCTGGGTGGCACATAGGAGAGATTTCGCACCAGACCTGAGCTCCAGCGGGGAGATGTCATTGGATAGCAAGGTTCTGTCTGATTTCTACTCTGTTTCATCTCAGGGACAAAATGGCACAAAAGCTAGTTCTTGGTGGGTGGGGATCAGACTGTGACTTGTTAGGAGAAACTGAATGGTTGTTACAGGCTCAGAAGGGAAGAATGGTATGGGTGGGAAGACTAAGGCATGATTCTATCACTCAGTTAACTATTGGCAGCCTGAGTGAATCTAGCTCCAGCACCAGCTGTATGGAGTGGGGAAATGTAGGCCTGCTTCACCCAGTTTACTTGGTTATGTGAAGAACCTGGACACAACCAACCAAGAATTCATGTTTTGCTCTGGGGTGTTTTGACATGAGTCTGTTGTAGAATATTATTTAAAGATGCGTTAACATTTGTTTATGCTGTGGAACATTTATTTAATAATGCAAAAATGTGTTGCATTCTTTTATTTACATTTGTTTGACTCTGTGAAACTGTGATACTTTGCCTCCCTAAAGCACCCATGGTCTGATAAAGAGCTGAATGGCCAATAATGAGGCAGGAGAGAGGATAGGTGGGCTGGCAGGCAGAAAGAATAAATAGAAGAAAAGAGCAAGGAGCAAAAAAGGAATGGGCAACAAGGGAGCCACCACTGAGGGAACAGACCTGAGCCAGCTACCTCCGCCAAAGCAGGCCATGGCAGCTACCTTAGTGGAAACAGCCCGAAGCAATCAACCACTCTGGAAACAGGCCCAAACGAACCTCGGTATTGCAGATCGACCCCCCCAGGAGCTCTGAGCAACCTTTTTGGGAACACCAAGTGACCACCATGGGCTGACTGGAACCTTGGCCCTGACTGCACCACGAGGATCAACCATCTGAGCCTAGGATCCACTGGCACCTGGAAGATTGATCACCAGAAGGAAATTAAACAATGCTCACCTGGATCATCAGTGGGTCAAGGGAGTAATAAAGGAAGAAATTAAAGACTTCCTATAAAATTCAATGAAAATGACCACACAACATACCCAAATTTATGGGACGCAGTGAAAGCAGTGTTAAGAGGAAAGTTCATAACACCAAAGCCTACATAAAGAAACTGAAAAAAAAAATCACACTAGTAAGTTAACAGAACATTTGAAAGCTCTGGAACAAAAAGAAGTAAACTCACTCAGGAGGACTAGATGATAGGAAATAATCAAATTGAGAGCATAAATCAACAAAATGGAAACAAAAAAAAACAATACAAAGAATCAATGAGACAAAGAGTTGGTTATTCAAGAAAATCAAGAAAATAAGCATTTTCTTTATCCAAGCTAACCAAAAGGCAGAGAGAGAATATCCAAATTAACAAAATCAGAAATGAAAAGAAGGGCTTAACAACAGGCACGGAGGAAATCCAGACGACCATTAGGTCATATTTTGAAAACTTGTATTTAGCAGAATTGGAAAAAGGAAATGGACAACTTTTTGGATAAATGTCACTTACTAAAATTAAATCAAGACCAGAGAAGCAAATTAAATAGACCTATAACTGCTAAAGAAGTAGAAACAGTCATCAAAAGTCTCCCAACCAAAATAAGCCCTGGACTAGATGGTTTCAGTGCAGAATTCTACAAGATTTTCAAAGAAGAACTAATAATACCAATACTTCTCAAATTGTTCCACACAATAGGAACAGAAGGAACATTGCCAGACTCTTTTTATGAGGTTACAATTACCCTGAAACAGACCACATAAAGACCAATCTCACTGTGATGCAAAAATACTCAGTAAAATACTGGCAAACCGAATCCAAGAACACATGAGAAAAATCATCCAACTTGATCTAGTCAGCTTCCTCCAGAGATGCAGGGATGGTTCAACATACTAAAATTTGTCAATGTAATCCACCATATAAACAAACTGAAAAACAAAACTACATGATCATTTCTTTAGAAGTTTAAAAAGCCTTCAACAAAATGCAACATCCCTTTATGATAAAGGTCTTGGAGAGAGCAGTACAAGTAACAATACAATAACAATACAAGTAACATATCTAAACATGATAAAGGCAATACACACCAAGCCAACAGCCAACACCAAACTAAATGCAGAGAAACTCAAAGTGATTCCACTGAAATCAGGTTGTCCACTCTCTCCATATCTATTCAATATAGTTCTTGAGGTCCTAGTTAGAGCAATAAGACAACAAACGGAGATCAAGGGGACACAAATCGGAAAAGAAGTCAAACTCTCACTATTTGCTGATGATAGTCTGTATAAGCAACCCCAAAAATTCTACCGAGGAACTTCTACAACTCATAAACACCTTCAGTATTGTCACAGGATACAAGATTAACTCAAAAAAATCAATAGCTCTTCTTCATACAGATGATAAATGGGCTGAGAAAGAAATCAGAGAAATATAACCCTTCACAATGATCACAAATAACATGTCTTGGAGTAACTCTACCCAAACAAGTGGAAGACTTGTATGACAAGAACTTTAAATCTTTGAAGAAAGAAACTG